ACATACTGCTTCTGCATGGATGACTTGTTTTAATTACAAATTACATCATCAACGGTATGAATGGGCTGGATAAGTAGAAAGTAAGAATTTCTAGAAGGTCTCATGAAGAGAGTGGTTAAAATGGGTGGCTTTATTAGTGTACAGTTCCCTTTTTGGAAACTTTTATTTTATGGCTCTTCAACTAATGGGGATGGTAAAAATAAAATGAAGAGCTCAAGCTAAATAATAATCACCATTAGAAAAATTTGATGGAGGGGGGTTATCACTATGTATACTGCTTTTAGATATGAAGAGATAGGTAATTCTTTTTCATATCTAATATTCAATTTTCATAATGGGCACCTTCTTTAATTACTCATTCATTCTCTGCTTGTGCCAGGCTAAGCTCTGTACATATCTTTACACATATGATCCTCAATCCTTACAACAATTTTGCAAGTTAAGTATTAGTCATTCATTTCTTTGAGCAACAAATATTTTTGTGTTAAGTGGTTGTTATGACTCTGGCTGTGAACTAGGTGGTAAGAAAGAACAGTGAAGAAGCAGTTGGAGTTCTGTGCCCTTAAGGTGTTTTTCACTGTTGGATGGGAAAGACAGACAGTAAATAGGTCATTAGAATGTCTTGTTATGTTCTTAAGACACTCTTCAGGGGAGTATAGATTTGTAAAAAGTTTTCAAAGAGCAGTGGTCATACTTTTGACCTCTCTATCCCATCTGAGAATCTTTCCTACAGAAATACCTAGACACAATTGAAAAGATAACTGGCAAGGATTATAATTTCAGGATTGCTCTGGTAGCAAAATGTTGAAAAAGCTCATTGGCAGGAGAATGGTTAAATCATAATGTTGTTTACACACACTGGAATGTTGCACAACAATAAGGTGAATGAGGTAAATTGGAAGGTGTTGACAGCTGTCTGGGGTATATTGTTAGATGACAAACTCTTGTTTTGGAAAAATCTGTATCATAGGAACATAGCACCTAAAATAACAATCATGAAGAAAAAGGAACGAATTTATGCAAGAGCCACACCAGATTTTTAGCTCTGTTTTCCGTTAGGCAGAAGGTGTGTGTATGGAGGGAACAACTTCTGTGTATTACCATGTTGTTTCAATTTGACAAAATAAACACGAGTCCTTTTCACGTATTTTAAATAGCAAATAAATTTTTAAAGATTTTATTTATTTATTTATTTATTTATTTAATTGACAGCCAGAGATCACAAGTAGGCAGAGAGGCAGGCAGAGAGAGAGAGAGAAGGGGAAGCAGGCTCCCTGCGGAGCGGAGAGCCCGATGCAGGACTCGATCCCAGGATCCTGAGATCATGACCTGAGCTGAAGGCAGAGGCCCAACCCACTGAGCCACCCAGATGCCCCAGCAAATAAATTTTTAAATAAGGCGATGTTACTAGGGCAGAGTTAAGTCGTACAGGAACACAAAGGACCCAGACTAGATGCGGAGATGTCCAAGAAGGCTCTGGTGGAGGGAATGGCCTGTTCAAATTCAGGATGTGGTCAGCCATGGAGAGGGACACAGAGAGATTGAGAGCGTCTTGCCTAGGAGTATCCCAGTAGGCAGCTTTGTAGCTGGCCACCTCCGTGCTTTATTTAAAAGTTTGCCCAGATTGTCCTAGGTTGTTCTTCACTTGCCATCACAGTGCATCAGCCACTATGCCTGAATACTTCTCACATTTCCACTTTTCCTCTGTCTCTACTGCTGCTGGCTTAAAGACTCTATGTCTCATCTGGACGATTAAGAAAACAGCCTCATAGGTCTCCTGGCCCCTTGTCTATACCCCGTGTCTCCTAAGCCTGTCTGTCCTTCACTGGGCTGAGTGATCTAAAAATAGAGTTTGACCTGGGTATCTTCCTTTTTAAACTTCGTCAATGGTCCTTCATAGATTCTGGGATCTAATCCCCCCCTTCTAAAAAGCAAGCCTACAAGAGCCCTACTTATCTCTTCCACCTTCTTCCCATGGTAACTGTTATTTAGGTTATCTGGAAATATTTTCATTTCTTTACAAATGCTGCTGCTTATTAAGCAAGGGGTAGATGTAGGTCAAGAAAAATATCCGTAATGTGGATTTAGTAGTTTGTTGTTAGCCTATTAACTTGTAAATGTTCTGACTAGTTACCCCTTTATGAGGGTTCATGTCTCTAATTTCATATTTTGTTGAGGTAACAATTTAGAAATTAATACATTTCAGGGAAAAGAGTCTTTTTAATGTCCTTGGGGATATTTTCTTTTGTGAATACTCTTGAATACATGTTTCTCATGTCTGGAGAATCTGGCATTAATTTGTGTACTTGTCTATTCCAAATCCGGATATGCTCCACCTTTATGGAATACACACTGTTCTAAAAACACTACATTGACTAAACAGTCTTATTTGCTTTGGCTAAACTTGGAGTTAATGAATGGACTTGATGTACAATCAGATAGATGCAAAACTGAGAGATGGTCCTGAGAGTCACTTTGAGACATGCTGTGTATTACTCTTCCTTCCTTCTCACCTTCATTATTTTTCTATTACTGAATGGCGATAAGTAGTAGTTTTTTTTTTAAAGATTTTATTTATTTGGCAGAGAGAAATCACAAGAAGGCAGAGAGGCAGGCAGAGAGAGAGAGGAGGAAGCAGGCTCTCTGTGGAGCAGAGAGCCCGATGTGGGGCTCGATCCCAGGACCCTGAGATCATGACCTGAGCCGAAGGCAGAGGCTTTAACCCACTGAGCCACCCAGGCGCCCCAGTAATAGTTTTAAATAGATAATAGGAGTTGGTTTCATCTTGTTGATTTTTTAGAAAGGTTTGTACTTTATAGACACATTTAATGTAGGACTAAAGTGATATACTATCTTCTGGCTCCCTCTGGTGGACAATTGTGCAAAAATGCAAACAGCAGTCTTATGGGTGGAAATGGGTTGTGTGAATTATTCTGATTGTTGGTGGGAAAAGGAACACAAGATACATTCTTATTTTTAGATACATCATAGTTATTATAGACAATATCCCCGGGAATAAAATGCGTTTCTATTAGAGTATAAAATAGCTGTAGTAAAATACATCATAGTAGCAACATATACGATACCAGTGTTATTGTTATTTTTCTTCTTAGTAATGGCAATGCTAGATTGTATAAAATAAAATCAGAAACAGATTTCACCTTACAGCTTAAAAACAGGTCATATCAGGATAAGGCTGATGCTGAAATTTAACAGGGCCATTAATTCATGAGTCTAAATACTACTCTGCGGATTATTCCAGAATCTTCCGAAAGCTAGATGTTTCAGTAACGCATAATTTGAGAATTTTTAGCATGTGGTTATTTTTATTTTGAATCAATTTATTTTGATAAACTTGTTATTTATTCATTCGTGTTCTAATTAGACTGAAGATACTTTTATCTTTATTATGGCAAATTAATTGATACCCAGTTTTATCTAGGTGGTTGTGTTTTGCTTTCATATCAAATGTTCAACAAAGTAAAACCAGGAAGAAATTGCATAGTCTTTCAATTAAATTTTATTTTATTTGTTTTATATAATGATAATTTTATATAATAAAAGTTTACATTTATTGAGCTAAGCCTTTGATGGGTATTATCTCATTTAATTTTTTCAGTAAACTCTATGAGGCTGATAGTTTTTGGTATTGACATTTTATAGAGGCTAGTAAAGGTGAGTTGAAGAGCCAAGGCTCAACCAGACATTCTTTCTCTAAAGTTGTATGTTTATAACTACAGCAATGTACTACCTCCTGAAGTGGGCAAGAGATAGGTATGTGTGTGGCTAATGCTCATATGCGACTCTGTGGAGTGCTGGAGACCTTGCCATTAGGTTTCCACATTTGAACTGAGAAATTAGATTACCTCAGCTCTGAGATTTTTGCCTTTCTTCTTTTTTCTTTTTTCCCTCATTTCGAATAGTCCTTATAGGAGAACCTCTTTAAGTTTTGTTTAGTTTTGGGAGTTAGGACAAATCATACCTGTTACCGTAGAAACAGGCTTCGTGGGAAAAGTATATTTTAGCTCTTCGGGTTCCTTGCTAAGTCTTTGAGAGAGATGATCTTAGTTGTAAAAGTGGTAAGGAAGGGTAAAATCTCTAGGTTCTAAAGCTAAAACTATAGTAGGGCACAGGTACCGAAGTCTTCATAAGCAATCTTTAAAATACATACAGATAATCAAGGGTTTAGGAAACTCTTTTTTCGCAAATACTCAGAATTACAAAAGGTAATTTTCTTAAAGTTGGCAATTATAAAGGATAGCTATCATTTAAATACTTTTCACGTATTAGCTTTTTAATTCCTATAATTAATGATTACAAAGAAGCTCACTATGATTATAGGCGGTATCCAGATGAGAAAACCGAAGCCCAGGGAGCTAAAGTAGTTTGCTTAAGGTTAGATGGCTGAAGACAGGCAAAGCTAGGATTTGAACTGTGGTCTGGCTCTCGAGAGTCCACATTCTAAACCACTTAGCTATTCAGCAGTGCTGCCCAGTAGGACTCTCGGTGATGATGAAGATGTTTGAGGTCTGGGTAGCACAATACAGCATCCACGGTTGGCTACTGAGCAGTTGAAATGTTGTTAGTACAACTAAGAAACTTAATTTTTTGTTTTGTAAATTTTAATTAGTTTCAAGTTAGAGAGCCTTGTGTGGCCAGGGGCTACTGTTTGGGACAGTACAGCTTTACAAGACCTTTCCGATTCTGTAGAAGTGGAGGTACAAGACCTTTAGTATTACCCTGTCTAACTCCTTGCTTTAATGATAAAGAAATGGCAAACTAGATGCTTAGTAATCTGCTTAGGGTTTCAAAGTTAAAGGATACAGTTATAATCCAAGTGTTTAAAATTTTCAGAAATAGCCCTTCCCCTTCTGTACTTAGTTGGTGTCTGCAAATTTAGGTTTCTCCTGCCATTGTTAATACTAGATTGTAAGACTATTAAAAAAATTCTTATCTTTTCTGAAATATGTTTCCAGTTAACACTTTTCCTTTTTTCTCAGGTTATAGAAACACTATCACGACTTTCTCGCACACCAATAGCACTGGCCACAGGAATCAGGTAAGCTCGTTTCTCTGTGATTCATATGTTCTATTCCTTCAATGTAATAGTTATTAATGGGATGGTTATTGTTTGTAAAGCACTTTGCATGCAGGAACCATGCCTCATTCACACATGAGCAGTGCCTGATGTGTAAGTGCCTAATATACATTTGAAAGTAATTGAGCAACTAAGAACTTAGTTGTAAAGCTGAGTAATAATACCCATTGGTTAAACATTCTTAACTCACGGCTGACTGTTACCTATAGGGTAACTGTTTGTTTAACAGTTTGTTAAAACTGGTAAAACCGTTTTCTTAACTTCCTTCAACATTTCTTACATATGATTCATCAAAAAAGCCCACAAATGCTTAAGTAAATAAATACCTGACAAGTTATTGTAGTACATTTACTTCCTATAGTCCATAAAAATAACTCACAACTTTAGGAGTTTAAAAAGTAATCAGACAAGTATAAAATGGTATGTGTACAAGGACGTGAGTTGAAGGATTGGTACTGAATGAAAAACTTGGAAGTAAATTGGTTAAATGAATTATGACTTCTCCATGCCATGGCGTATTATGCAGTCAGTAAGCATGGAAATAAATGTAGACAGGTATGTCATGTTGGGCTTTCCCTGTTTAAAATACTACATACTCAAGTTAGATCAGTCAGAAGTTTGTATTATTAGTAACATCAGACATACAGAGAAACCTTTTCAAGAGCCACCCAGCAAGGCTGCTTGGAAATTGAATGGATTTCATTTTTTATCTTGCTTCCTCAGAGCTCCACACTTTAGTCTCCAGCCATTATGGGGTCTGTGGTGCCGTCTCTCCCTCTGTTGTACCTTTCTGTGTCCAGCTCAGATTCAGATTTTAAGGGAGAGGATATAAGTCCTTCTTAAGAGGACTGATCGGCAGTGGCTAGGCAGTCCGTGCCCTGGATACAAAACACAGCAACCCCAGGAGGGATACTCTGCAGACCGGTTCTTGGAAATGGGCTGTGAATTTGACAGCTTTCTACAGAAGTCATCTCTAGGCTGCATACGTGTTCAGCACCTCATAATTTGCTCTATGTGATTCATCTTCCCATATTAATATATATGTATGTGTACATATATATATATATATAGTTATACATAAATTGCTGATTTTGAAATAGCCTGATTCTATTTTTATGTATTTATGTATTTTTGGTTCTGAAAGGATATACATTAGAAGGTTTTCTTTTCCTTTTTTAATTCTTCTTATCTATATTTCCAAATATTTCTATAATGGACTTACATTGGTATAAAAGCACAATCAAATGTGCCTGAATTTATTTAAGAAAAAAAAAAAGATTTTGAAACTCTAGCATTTCTCACACATTTTAATTTATTTGAAAAATGTAAGTTCCTTAAATGTCTTAAGTACTCAATCCATAAATTAATATGAAAACACATTTTTCAGTGTATCAAATATAATTTTTTAGCAATTACTAGCTCTCACTTACTATTTTGATCCTCTTATTTTTATTTTTATGAAACATGACATCCTGCCTGCATATAAAGAAAGTAAAAATTCTGGCACAATAGTATAATTATGATTGTGTTAGATATGCATTTAGGGCATTATGTTGGGGTTATGAAAATAGTGCATAGTACATTAGGCAAAAAAATCAATGGCTAGAAATCGGGGATACATTAAACTGCTTTTCTTTTAATAGGGAACAAAGAAAACTTCCTACTCTCCCTCAGGCCTAGGGTTTACTCATTTGTCCAATAAGTGAAAATAAAAAAATATGACTTAAATATCTTGAAGTCCAAGTAGAAGAGTCTGCCAGAATCAGTAATCATAGGTGAAGGGTGCGGATATTTTGATCTTCTAATAATTTTTTTCTCTGTTAGTGGGCTGAGTCCTGCAGGGATGATTGGTACCAGACCATTTGTTGGTCAGATCAGATTCCCTAAGTGGAGAGAGACAGTGCTGAAGGCAGAGGCGCTGGGGCAGCTGTGGGCTTTCTGAGCTGGGAGCTGCAGAGCCTGCAGAAAGTGGCACGTGTGGCCTGTCCACAGCTGCTCAGGTGACGGTGGCGACCGCTGGTAATGGCTACCGCTAATTTGGAGTAGCAGGTGCCACAACGTCCCTGGGGAACCCCATGCAACTACCACAGGATGGGCACTTGGGGAGAAGCCCAGGCTGTTTGTTAAATGCGATGACTGATCTGACCACTGTGGCGGCAGCTGAGCTCTGTATTTAGTGAGAGCTCAGTGCCCAGCCTCCTGGCTGCTTACTCATCTTTCTTGTGTGTTTTTTTTTTTTTTTTCTCCCTCTCTTCTAGGCCCTTCCCAACTGAAGAGAGCATTAGTGATGAAGACATCTACAAAGGCCTTCCTGATTTGATAGAGTATGTTGGGCATCTTCAGCAAAATTAAACCACCACCAATGTTTGCATCCTTTGTGGGTTTTAACCAGGGCTGTTAAGAGAGCTTTCCGAAGTGGTAAAATGATTTAATGATTAAGACACGTAAGAATTAACCTCAAACTAGTGATGGAAAGCTTCACAAGAAAATGGGCCTCGTTGGGCTTTTAATTCCTGTTCTGTGCCCCATGCCATGCCAGTCCCTTTGACGAGTCAAGGAACAGATTGCAATGAAGTAAAATTTGGAAGTTTCTCAAAGGCATATTTGAGGTGGTGGGTGAAACTTGAATTAGACAGTGAGGGGAACAGTGATGAAGAAACAAGATCTGCTTCTGGAGTTGTAGGGCAGATAGTGCGTGCTTTGTAAGTTCAAGGAAAGGCGAGATGAGTGTGGGCTGGAGTTCTTCAGGGAGTTTCATTAGATGGTGTTTGTTCTGCACAGAGACTCCTTCCGGGCTTTATTATTTAGTAGTCAGGAGAGGCAAAAGGCCCTTGCACCTGATCATCTTCTGCTGATTGAATGACTTGTGCAGATTACAAATAAATATGAAAAATGATCCCCACCCCTCAAGGAACTGATGACAAAGATCAGGCATGTTTGAAAAAGAATTATAGGAAGAAATAGATTATGCTCCAAAAGGGGTGCAGGTTCTGTGTGGAAATTCTTCCATTCATCCATCCCAGTGCACCGGCGCTCCAAGCTTGTTCTTTGCTGTAGGACCTTTGCTCATTCTGCCCTTATGGCTGACCCCTCACCATTCCAGCCTTCGCTCAGACGTCCCTCCGTGGACAGGCCTTCCTGACTTCCCTCCCTGTCCAGCCCCTCACCTTGCTCTCTAGCTTTATGGCACTCATTTCTGCCCGAGACCATCTTTGTCAGCTTCATTTATTCTCCATCTGCTCATTAGAAGGTCAACTTTGTGAGGCCAGGGACTTTACCTTGTTCTTGGCTGTGCTCCCAGAACTTTACCCAGCATCTGGTGTGTAGTAGGTCCTTAGTAACTATTTGTTTTCTGAATGATTAAGCAGAGTTGCCTCAAGCATCTCCTCTCCTGTTTGCCGGCATTCTGCTTCAGGCCTGAGCTGTCTCTTCAGTTCACATGGGCTTGTTGAGTGCCTGTTTCTGTGCTAACCATGTTGCATGCATTATCTCATGTCCTAACTTCAACATGATGAGGTTGATCCTGTTATCCCAACTTCTGAAGGAGAAAACGGAACCGTGGAAAGCTAAGAAACTTACTGGAAGTCATACAGCTAGCCAGTTTTAGTCTTCAAATTGGAACCCCAACAGTTCTTAGTCCAGAGCTGGGGACTTTCCTCACTGCATGGAACCCTGGAAACACCCTGAGTTGCCCCCTCCGTGAGAACCTCCGATAGAAGAGCAGAGGAGAATGCTGATAGGTTGGCCAGCAGCTTGTCCCAGAACAGGTGGCACTTGGATGGGCCTTGAAGTTTGATGTTTTAACTGTGGATGAAGGATAGTTTTTTAGCTCCTCTTAAAACTTCCAAGAGCTCACTGATTGTGAGCAAGATTATTGCTGATCGTCTCACTGAATTGCCTGTAGTCTTCATAACGTGACTATAATGTTTCTGGTAATATAACCAACTCCTCTGAAGTATTAAGAAGAACATATTATTTCTTGGGGCACCTGGGTGACTCAGCTGGTTAAGTATCCGACTCTTGATTTCTGTTCAGGTAATGATCTCAGGGTCGTGAGATCGAGCCCCATGTTGGACTCCATGCTCAGCACAGAGTCTGCTTGAGATTCTCTCTCCCTCTCCCCCTCCCCCTACTTGCAATCCCTCTCTCTCTCTTTGTCTCTCAAATAAAATAAAATTTTTAAAAAGGAATATGTTATTTCTAGAGCTATTATAATGTTCTTTTTTTAACCCCCACCAATTGTCACTTACACCTACTAACTTTCATAGCCTCCCCTCCTCTTGTTGTGTTGATGTCAGGATAAATCCTGTGAGGACTCGTACCCCAAGCCAAGTTTGGAAAAATCTGGGCTTCTGAGCCAGCTGCTCTGAGACACCAGCTCAGGGTCAGGGAAATACAGCCTGCTTCAACTCTCCATCTGGTGGTGGAAGGTCCAAACATGGTGTTATTCCTACAAGTGCTTGCCTTTGGTTTTCAGTCTTAGCTTTGTTATGATCTCTCTGGGCTCATATCTTTAAGTCTGACTTTTGGGATTGAAATCACCCCAAGGAAAGCCCTTAGAAACAATATTGTCCTCCCTACTGCAGAGGGAATCATTCTGTTCCCATGTGGAGAGAAATGGAGAATGCAGCAGAGAGGTTGTGAGATGGCTAGGCTGCACAGTGTCTGCTTTTTCTACTTTTATGATCAGGGTGTTATTCACGGCCATATATAGATGACCTGGACACAGGAAAAGTAATATAGATTATTGTTGATTTGTTGACCATTTGAAGAATCACAGTCCTCCTTCCCCTGGCACCCCCCTGCTTCCCCCACCCCACACCGCCCCGGCTCATTTTGTGCAGGTCAGGAATTCTTGACCAAACTGTTAGCAAGAAAAGCTACCTTAGTATGTGGTTGAATAACAAAACTCAAAGAATTTTAGCCCAATCTTGGGTGTGTGTGTGTGTACACATACACACACGCATGCGTGTCACTCATACAGTTCTTCTTTAAAAACTTTTTTCCAGGGGCACCTGGGTGGCTCAGTGTGTTAAAGCCTCTGCCTTCGGCTCAGGTCATGATCTCAGGGTCCTGGAATTGAGCCCCGCATCGGGCTCTCTGTTCAACTGGGAGCCTGCTTCCTCCTCTCTCTCTGCCTACTCTGTCTACTTGTGATCTCTCTCTCTGTCAAATAAATAAGTAAAATCTAAAAAAAAACAAACAAAACTTTTTTCCAGTTTTATTGAGAAATAATTGATCTATATCCTTGTGTAAGTTTGAGGAGTACAACATGATAGTTTTATTTACATATATTGTGAAATGATTACCACAATAGGGTCAGTTAACATCTGTCCATCTGGTATAGATACAATTAAAAGAAAAGAAATAAGAAAAGGGTAAAAGAAATTCTCCATGTGGTGAGAACTCTTAAGATTTACTGTTTTACCAACTTTCCTGTGTACCACGCAGCAGTGTTGGCTGTGGTCATCGTGTCATACATTCCATCCCTAGTCCTTATTTACTGGATTGATCTAAGTTTGTACCTTTTAACTACCTTCCTTCAGTTATCCCTACCCGTCCCCTCCATCTCTGATCTCCTCCAGTCTGATCTCTTTTACAGTGAGGTTTATTTTGTTGCTGTTGTTCTTTTCTTTGGGGTTTTGTTTTTGATTTTTGTTTTTGTTTTGTATTTTTTTAGATTCCACATGTAAGTCAGATCACACAGTGTTTGTGTTTCTTGGTCTTATTTCACTCAGCATAACACCCTCAAGGTCCATCCATGTTATTGCAATTGGTGGAATTTCCTCATTTTTTATGCTGAATCATATCCCATTGTGTGTGTGTGTGTGTGTGTGTGTGTGTGTGTGTGTTACACTGCAACTTCTTCATGCATTCATCCATCGGTGGACATTGAGGTTTTGTCCATGTCTTGGTTATTGTAAATAATGCTGCTGTGAACATGAGGGTGCAGACTTCATTTTGAGTTAGTGTTTTTGTTTCTTTTGGATGTATTCCCAGAAGTAGAATTCCTGGATCATATGATATTTCTCTTTTTAATTTTTTGAGGAACTTCCCCACTATTTTCCACAGTGACTGCACCCATACATGGACCCACCAACAGTGTGTGAAGGGTCCCTTTTCTCCACATCCTCTCTAGGATTTATCTCTTGTCTTTTGATGATGGCCATTATAACTGGCATAGGGTAGTAACTCATGTGGTTTCAAGTTGCATTTTCTTAATGTCTGGTGAAGCTGAACATCTTTTCATGTACCTGTTGGCCCTTCATATATCTTCTCTTGTCCTTTGCCCATTTTTAAATGGGGTTGTTTTGTGGTGGTTATATGAGTTGTAGTAGTTCTTTATATAGACTAATTGTACTAGTTCTTATATATTTTGGATACTAGCCCCTCTTCAGATAAATGACTTGTGAACATCTTTTCCCATTCCATAGGTTGTCTTTTCAGTTTGTTGCTGGTTTCTTTTGCTGTCGATGCAGTCCCACTTGTTTATTTTTTATCTTGTTGCCTGTGCTTTAGGTGTCATACCTTCTACAAGGGTAAAAGAAAAATCTGTATGTATTCACAGCACATGTGCCTCTACCCTCATGGGAAAGAGTCAAAAACAACACTTAAGCAAGATGAGGTGTTTTTTCCAGGAATGGGGGTAGTGGTCAAAGGCCGTGGAGCTGGGATTAGGAGTAGCAGGGAAGTGGATTTCACAGCCTCACTTCTTGTTGAATGGGATCCCTTCTGATGCAGAGCCTGTTCCTTCGTCATTTCTTATCTCTGCTCCCTCATGGACTCATCAAACCTTGCTTTCCTTTGATGTGTCATAGAAAGTGTTCAGACTGGTTCAACTCCCCCACCCAACCCTGTTCTCTGGTTGGATTGCCTGCCTAAACCCCTCAGTTTGGAAATTCTGGAATTACCTGATGACATGCCATCTGCCCAGTTTTACGGAGTAGGAAGCCGAGTGGCATTCTTCACTCCTTCCGCCCTCTCCCTAATTCTGACTTGCCACCAAGTCTGGTTGACTACACCTGACACAGTTTCTGAAGTCTCTCTGTTTCTCTTCTCATCTGCCTTCACTCTAGTTATGGCTCTCAATATCTCCTACCCACAGGTTTCATTTCTGGGCTTACTGTCTTGTTGCCTTTACTCTGCCCTCTCATAAAACCTCCGCTTGCATCCCAAATGCCCATGTAAGGTTGTACTTAGAGGGTGTACCGCCTTTCACAGGTTGGTTTTAGCTCTTCTCTCTGGGGCTCACATTCATTTACCTGAATGGGGCACCACTCTTGGTGTTGCTGGGCTCTTCAGACCTGCTTTTGCACATGTTTTGGTATCTTTTGTCTGGAATGTTCTTCCCCCTTTATTCACTGAGTATGTGTCACCTCTGACAGCAGAGGTGCCTCATCTGCAACCATATCTCTTGGAACATAGTAGTATTCAATTAGCAAATACCTATTGAATAAATTGATAAATATATCCGAGACCCAGTTCACATGTAGTATCTGTTGTGAACCCTTCCCTGACTTCTTTAGTCAGAGTTACTCTTCCCCTCGCTCCCACATCTGCATTCATCTGCTCTGTTGCACTTCTAGAATTTCAGTGGGCATCCTGTGCTCTACACTTGACTATGGGAGAGTCCTCGGGTCTTCTTTAGTCTATGCATTCTTAGCACTGAAATGTCTGGGCCTCCGTAGGTCCTTAGTAAACGTCTGCTGGGTGAGTGGATGGTTGGACAACTAACCTTAAGACAAATTTTTCTCAGAGCAGAGTCCTGTGAAACGTTTGTTAGCACCAGATCGCTCTCCCGTAAGGCACCTTTCTTTCTTCTGGGTGTTTGAAACAGTTTATTCCTGTCAAAGGCCCAAATAATCCTTCATGACAAACATAGACAACCTGGTGATTGAACCTACTTTGAAAAATGATCTAAGTTGTAGAGTGACATTTACAGTTACAGTGTTCTTATTTTTGTGCATATCAATTTATAATATTCTATCTGCACAGGCCCAAGAAACATGATAAGGGCTGGCAGGATTGAAGGAGTTGAATTTCTTTTTCTGAGAAATATGAATGCTTCTTTCTAACATGTCTAAGTGTATTAATCTCAATTCTTTGGGATTATTAGTAATAGAGTTTATAGAAGTCTTGAACTGAAAAGGGAGACTTGAGGAGTAGGAATAGAACATGTGATAGGTGGAACCAGCTCCTTCTACTTGGACTGAATGGGTTTATGATATTATATGAAGGGTTTAGGAAAAGTACATTGGTCCGTCACTGTGTATGTTCTCCTGGGAACTTTAAAAAATAGGGATGGTTTTCAACTGCCAGGAGCCCAGCAGATTTCAAATGGTGTTTAAAAATACTGACATTTCTTTAAACATAGTATAATCAAAACAGATAATAGCAGAATCTGGCTGGAGAGGGGACCTGTGGAGACCCTCTGAGTGGGAGGAAAGGAGCAGGGTTGGAAAAACCATGGTGTCAGGTATCGGCAGTAATAACCCTGCAGAAACTGTTGCTTTTAAAAGACACCTTTTAAACTATGAGATCCTTCCCAACTCCTCTGTCTTTGCCATATTAGACCCCTTAAGACAGATGATTAACCCGAGGCCTCAAAATAGGAAAAATGGGGGCAGTAGGATAGAGTGACAAAAACACGTAGAATGTAAGACAGACTCCGTTTTAAATCTGGATCTGGCATGTACTAGCTGTGTGTTCACAGGCAAGTCAAATAAATACTGTTTAGTTCTCTCGACTTCCTTATCTCTGTAATGGATTAAATAATAATGCTTACCTGAAAACACAGTGAATACTGGGCCTGGGCCAACTACCTGAGATGGTGTATACAGAGTGATCATTTCTGTGCATGTACATAGCAAATACCAGTGGATGTTAACTGTCGCTGCCATCCTTGGTGGATTCTGTTGTTGGCATTGTTCTCATTAGGAGGGAGAAGGCTGTAATGTAAAGCCTTTTGACTCTTCTCATGAATCCCGTTATATTTCCTCTCTGGATTTTCTACTAGGCTGTATGTAGGTATTGCATTTACTGCATGATAGAAAGTGACCTGGGTATCATACCTTTGTTTCAGTGAAACGCACGTGGAGGATGAAGAAGGTCTCTACGACTGTGTTTATGGGGAAGATGAAGGTGGAGAAGTCTACGAGGACTTAATGAAAGCAGAGGAAGCACATCAACCTGTATGCTCCCACTTGCCTTATGTTTCGAGTTACTTCGAGTGTTTTATTAGGACAGTGATTCCTTGCAAGACTGATTCCTATAATTATTTATGTAACTTCTGCTGGAAGAGTTTTTTGGTTTTCTTTTTACCTTTGCTAGCTTTTAACTATATAATCATGACTTACTGCATTCAGAAACACATGGACATGACATTTTGCAGTTCAGAACAACCATAGGGAATCCCCGGTCTCGTCTTTTGATTTTCCTTGTAAAAAATAGCAAGTGTGAAAGAGAGATGGTATGCTGTGCAGCTAAATAGTGGTTGAGTGGCAATAGAACATAATTCCAGGGAATCACGAAATTACGTTACCATGAAAGGAAATCTCTTGCAAAACAATTCAGTCTTCTTTAAATTTGGTGTAGCATTAAATATTAAATGTAAAGAATAGTTCTTCATATTTGTTAGGGGTGTTAAGAAGAAGTCTTTTTTTTTTCTTTTGTTTCCCTAAAGGGCTCCTAGAATTTTTAGTGTTTTATAAACTTAGTTTCAGATGTCATCATAGTCAGCGTGTGCCCCCCAAAAGTTTATCTGCCATTAAAATATCTAAAACATTCAGAAAGAATTACTTCGAATTTTTTCAAACACAAGATTGTGTAAACACAAGATTACTGGAAGCCAAGGAACTGAAAGGCCAGGCTATTGAAGGATCATCTGCACATATGCCGAGATTGCCAGAAATGGACATTGGAGTGGTAATGGAAAACAATATGGCAGGCCAAGAACTAAAATTCTCAAAGAATGAAGAGGATGAGCCATAAATTGCACAAGTACATAATCTCAGTGATCTAGAATCTTTATAAGGCATTTGAGGGATATTTTGTATCACTCCTGTATTTCCAAAATATTTTCATAATTTGAAAAAAATGGTCAGTTGCTTAGGGTTTTAGGAATGTAGTCTTTTTTTTAATACAAAAGCCTTATCTTCGTCAGCTGGATGGTGGTTTAGGTTTTTCTAGGGCTTTAATGAATTTCCTCAGCTCTCTCTCTTCATAGTCTTGCCTTTAATAAAAGGCTGGAGGCTTGTCCAGTGCCCCACATAGGGAGCAGTGGCTTCCGTGGGATGGAAACCAGATACCTGGTCTGTGTTTAATAAATGTAATGAATGTGCTTAACCCACTGTGTGAGTTGACAGACTGCCCGCGGCAGGACATTGAGTATTTCTAGGTGACAGAGTATCATCTGTACTGCCTAGAATTACCATCTACTTTGGGGACCAGCAGATTCTTCAGTGTGTCACCCAAGGACAGTTCTTCATTCAGTAGGCAGTGCCAGGTCATTTATTGGGGACAGGCTCTTTTTTTTTTTTTTAAGATTTTATTTATTCATTCAACACAGAGAGATCACAAGTAGGCAGAGAGGCAGGCAGAGAGAGAGGAGGAAGCAGGCTCCCTGCTGTGCAGAGAGCCCGATGCGGGGCTCGATCCCAGGACCCTGAGATCACAACCTGAGCCGAAGGCAGAGGCTTAACCCACTGAGCCACAGGCACCCCTATTGGGGACAGGCTTAAGAGCAATGATCATTTAAATGGGTAGGGTCCTTCTTGTATACTCCTCAAGATGCTATGTGCCTTACCAGGTTATCTCATTGACATTTCCTTGGGGTTAGAACTAGAATTCTCTCTGTGTTGTAGATGAGATAACTGAGACACAGAGAAAATAGGTAACCTGTTCATAATAACAAGCTAATAACCGAAAAACTGGTATTCGAACCCAATTCTGTCCAAGCTCCATACCTTTGATCCTCATGTTATGCTCTAATACCTCCAGTCTTAACACTAGTAAGTGAGCCAAACACCAAGATGTTAACTCTTAAAAAATTATTTTAAGGTTTTATTTATTAAATATCCTTTTGTTATTTTGCAAGTATTTCTACAGCACTTGTGAAGTATGCTGTACATTAAGAAAACTGTATCACACCATGTGTGATATTTCCAGGTTCAATAATGAAACAGATAAAATAATGAAAGAGGTGTTTTCAATATAAAGATTGTCCATGCTCAGAAGTTTTTTTTTTAATTGTTTAAAACTTCCATTTACATGGTTCAAATTTTTAAGAACAGATACTTCATAAATGCAATAAATGATCTTTCAGTTATGTCTTTTATTAGAATGGAAAGCCTAAGAAAGTCAGTGATTTTGAGCACTTTCTATAGACTGCCAGAAAGATTAAGACATATGTTTGATTAAATCATTTTTGGTAATTCTAATTGCAGAAATGTCCAGAAAATGATGTACGAAGTTGCTGCCTAGCAGAAATTAAGCAGACAGAAGAAAAATACACAGAAACATTGGAGTCAATAGAAAAAGTAAGTTATCAGATATTATTTTTGATGCCCAAGTACTACACTTTATAGTTAATATAGAAGACTCACTGTGTCTACTGTGTGTGTGTTTTCTATGTTTCAGTAGAACTTTGGATTTAAAGATCTCAAAGCAGATTTATTCATTCCACAACTAGCTACTGATTTCTTAGTATTGGAATGGCACAGTGTTAGAGGCCAAGGATATAGCAGGAAACACAACAAAACTCTGGTTCTCGTGATACTCTCTCTCCCATGGGAAGGTTTATACTTTAAGCAAATAAGTGTGTCAGGTGGTGATAAATTCTCTGAAGAAAAAATCAGTCAGGAGGAGAGGACAGAGAGTAATGGGAGTGGGCTGATTTTATTTTATGTCAAGTGATAATGGAAGGTCTGTGGTAGGATCACACTGAAGCAGATAGCTGAGGGCAAGCTGTGCCAACATCCTAGAGAAGACAGTTCCTGGAAGAAAGGCCCTCAGTGGAGACTGTATTCCACATGTTTCAAGAAGAGCAGTAGCCCAGGTGGCTGACGCAGCATGGGGGAAGAGAAGCAGTGAATGTGGAGAGCTGGTGAGCCATGGCACCCTGTAGGGGACATAGAGAACACCAGCTTGAAGCTGGAGTGTGTGAGAAGAAGAAGGGACATGATCTAATGTAAGTTTTTCACAGCTCATGCTGACATTTTGGGAGAAAAGTTAGAAGGCTATTGACAGAACATGATAGTATTTGTAGAGCTGGTGAGGAATGGTCAGATTTTGAATAAATTTTGCAAGTAGAGCCAACTGGATTTGGTGATGAATTAGGTGAAGGATGTCCGAGAAAGAGAGCAATCAGGAATGTGAGGTTTATAGTATGAATAACTGCCTGAGTGGTAAAGACTGTCACTGATATGGGGAGGACAGGTTTGGGAATCAAGAGTCTGTTGGGACATACTAAATTTGTAATACCTCTCAGCCTCCAAAGGGCTGTGCTGAGGGAGTTAGATATATGAGGCTGGTATTAAGGAGGAAAGTTGAACCGACAAATACATTAGACCGTTACCATGATGCAATGGAATCTATAAAGTCATGGTGCTGAATGACTTCACCTAGGGAATAAATGTTGATAGAGGAGAGGTTTGAGGCTGCCCCTGGCAACATCCACATTTAGAGGTCAGGAAAATGAGAACCAGGAGAAAGTTTTGGACATTTAGGAAAAGCACCGAAGGTGTGGAAGAGTTGTCTGGGAGGGGTGTTGGAGTCAATTGACCAGGGAAATGTAGTAGGGTTATGCTTTACCACAGGCTCAGTTGAAAATTAGACCATCAATCTGTTCATGTTTACCTTCTTAGGTACATGCTCTACATATATAGCAAGCTAGATTTAACCAGAGTTTTCTTCTTCCAGAAAAGCACAGTGGAAGAGGATAGTGGAGGGAACAGTTCTTTTATTTTTAATTTTTTTTAAACATTTTATTTATTTATTTGACAGACAGAGATCACAAGTAGGCAGAGAGGCAGGCAGAGAGAGAGGGGAAGGGAAGCAGGCTCCCCACCAAGCGGAGAGCCCGATGCGGGGCTCAATCCCAGGACGCTGGGATCATGACCTGGGCCGAAGGCATAGGCATTAACCCACTGAGCCACCCAGGCGCCCCTGGAGGGAACAGTTCTATGCAAGGAAGTGATTCTGATGATGGTTTATGGAGTGTAAACTCGGTAGGAAGGGAAGTGAAGACATGAGAGACACAGGACGTTTAGTGGATTGGCAGATCCAGTGGTGTTGAAGAATTCCTTGGAGGAATGAGCTATCAAGGTAGGGGGTAGTGGTCAGAGAGTTGATTGTTTGAAAATAATACTCTAGAGCCTTGCAATTGTTGATGATGAGAAGGTTTTGGGATGTGACCGCCAAAGTAGGGAGCTGAGCTAGAATGGAACACAAGATTACTGGAAGTCAAGGAATTGAAAGGCCAGGCTATTGGAAGGATCAGCTGTACATGTACTGAGATTGCCAGAAATGGACATTGGAGTGGTAATGGAAAGCAATATGGCAGGCCAAGAACTAAAATTCTCAAAGAACGAAGAGAATGAGCCATAAATTGCACAAGTACATAATCTCAGTGATCTAAAATCTTTTTTTTTAAAGATTTTATTTATTTATTTGATAGATCACAAGTAGGCAGAGAGGCAGGCGGAGTGGGGGGGGGAGGGAAGCAGGCTCCCCGCTGAGCAGAGAGCCCGATGTCGGGCTCGATCATAGGACCCTGGGATCATGACCTGAGTGGAAGGCAGAGGCTTTAACCCACTGAGCCACCCAGGCACCCCAGTAATCTAGGATCTTTACAAGGCATTTGAGGGATATTTTGTATCACCCCTGTATTTCTAAGATGTTGCCTTTTTTTTTTTTTTTTTGCCAATTCAGCCAATAGTGTTCTAGTGTTCTTTTTCTCTTACTTTGAGAAGTATTTATTGCTGAAACCTTTTTATATAAAGACATAACTGTATTATGTCTTTATATAACTGTATTATGTCTTTATATCTCTATTCAAGAATAAAATCTTTAAGAGTTTCTGCTTTTTTCTTGGTATTCATTATTTGGATAAACAATTGACTTTGAATAAATATTATTTGTTGATGAAAAACTGTTAGGATAAGTTGTGCTTAATTATTACTTCTCTGTTCTATCTTTGTAGTATTTCATGGCACCACTAAAAAGATTTCTGACAGCAGCAGAATTTGATTCAGTATTCATCAACATTCCTGTAAGTACAAAGATGCTAGCTTGAGTTGTATTATAAATTATACATAATATATAAATTATAAATTATATATAATATATAAATATGCATTATAATATATATAAATTATACATACATTATAATATATGAATTATATATACACACACACATATATACATTATATATAACATAACATATGAATCATATATACACATCTATATACATTATATATTATATATTATATATACATTATATATAATGTATATAAATTACATATACATTATAATATGTATAAGTTATATAACTTATAACTTATAATTGTGTTATAAATTCTATAAAATCCCTGTCTCTTGTTGGGTTCCAGATTCCTATTTTAATATTTTCCTGTATACTTTAGGAATTTTAACTCTATTTTTTGCTTCCTGAGTTCTTACATCCTTATTTTCCAGAAATAAAGGATATGTCATATCTTCAACCAAAGTCAGTTGAGATGCAAGCCGAACACGCATGGATAAGATTCATGTATTATCCTTAACTGCTTGTCAGGAAGAGGTGGCCTGAGTCAAGGAATCCCTGGTGCCACCTTCTGTCTGTCCTGTGGGATCCTCCTTATGCCTCACTCCTTGCTCTCTTGCTACTCCAACCCTTCAAGCCTGTCCTATAGACACTGTCCTGAGGGCATCACTCTGCTCTGTGGTGCTTTCTTCTTCCACTTCTAGCTCTACTAACCTTAACTCCCGTCTCTGAAATACACCGCATCCTTATGATGTAAGAATTCATTTTAGTGGTTCGAGGTGAGGAGCTTTTTTCCACATTTATGTAAGCATTTCAAATTTCAGACCCCCTTAGAATTATCTTATAATCTTAAAGGATAGTTACCTAGAAGCATTGAAACAAACCAAATGCTGTGCCAAGCAAGGGCATACTAGGCAAGATTCAAGTTCTTAAACCTCTCAAACTGGCTTGGGTTGTAAGAGATAGCTCGTGGATACACTATATAAGCTTTTGTGCACAAGCTTGCTTGTTGTAAAATTCCCTACTCTTTTGGTTCTGTTACGTTCAGTGCTGATGGGCATCTGTCAGTTAGTGACTATTGTCCTTGTCCCTGATTTTGTCCAGATGAAGACACTCTCACTGATTCATAGCATAGCAGGAAGAAAGATGTCACGACAACAGGTGAATATTTAGCATAAAGCAAACCGCACATTCTAGGAAGATGAGGATCTTGACCCACCTTACCGCTGTCACTGGAACACAGGGCACATTTACAGTCCTTAATCTTATGGCTTCAGCGTGCTCTCCAGAAAATGGACAGGGCCAACATATTCCTGTTTCCTTCCCACCCTGCTAAGGAAAGAGCTTGTGTTGAAGTCAGTGTGTGCCCCAAGGTACAGGGGAGGGATAATGGGAGAAATGCACCTTGATTAGAATTTCATTTCCTGGCTGTGATGTGTATTTACTGCCTGACTGAAAATTACTTGCTTATCAGGAAAAAAGTGAAATCCTGACTTCTGAGTTGCTCTAGCAAACTGCCTAGTACAATTTATCTGCTCTTTATTTATGCCATTAGTTGTCTGGTTTCAAGTAATTTAGTGTGATTATTGTTAGCTTAGCACCGGGACACCACTAATTGACCAAAGTGCAAATCTACATTTTTATGTCCTAAGGATGTGAATCATTACTTTATTCCGTCAATAAAACATTAAGCACTTGGATAGTTTTATTTAAAAAATTAAAGTGATTATAATGAAAATGAGTGTACATATTTTTATACAAGGAATAAATTACCCTTTAATAAGTAGTGAGATAATTTTCCCCCCCACAGGACACTGAAGATTCATGTCTGATCTGAAACTACTGTTTTCTCTGTACTTGGCCTGTCAGTCTTGCCCTTGTCTTCCCTCGTCTTCCCTCCCCTTCTTTCCTCTTCTCTCTCCTCTCCCCCAACTTCTCCCCTTTCTCTCCTCCCTTTCCCTCTTTCACTTCCTCCTCTCTTTATCTGTGGTGGCAGGTTTCTATATTGAGGACATTCAGCATATCCTTGAATAACAAGTCTAGCACTGATATGGATTTTCGGTTTGGGTGAGGTTTGTTTTTTTGTTTGTTTGTTTTTTGGTCCTGATTTATAATTTCCTTTGACGTGCTTTTTGTTTTGTTTTTTTTTCTTTCCTAAGGAACTTGTAAAAGTTCATCGGAACCTAATGCAAGAGATTCATGATTCCATTGTAAATAAAAATGACCAGAACTTGTATCAAGTTTTTATTAACTACAAGGAAAGGTAACTTTTAACTTTTAAATGTTGTGTATGCATGTATGTATGTATCAGTTTTTGATTATAGTGAGGGTTAGTATTAAGATTGCTCATAAATAGCTATTACCACTGTCCATTAAGATAATGCCTGGGTATGGGGTTATGGACATCGTGGAGGGTATGTGCTATGGTGAGTGCTGTGAAGTGTGTAAACCTGGTGATTCACAGACCTGTACCCCTGGGGATAAAAATACATTATACGTTTATAAAAAAAAATTAAAAATTAAAATAAAAAGATAATGCCTGGGTAATAATTAGAACATGGGACAGTTAATCTCAACGAAGTAGTTTGAGTTCTATATATGTATCAAGAAAAAGAAAAAAAAAAAACAAAAACAAGGATCCATAATTTTGTACTGTAAGTCAGAAGGTTCTGGTTCTTTATCAGTTTATCCCTGAGTTCTGTAGTTTTCAGGAAGTCATTTTAATTCCCTGAGCCTCCTTTTCTCTATCTGTAAATGTTAGGGGTAGATTAGCTGGTGCCTATGATTTTTCCCACTCTCATATTTGATAATTCTCTCTTTAAGGCACTTACCCTTTCTAAGTTTGGGGAAAAAAAAAAAAAGTCTTCTGAACTCATGTGAGTTGAAGTACCAAGAAATTTCACTTAAAATGTCATTCTCTCTTTTTAAATCAAGCACTTGTAGTTCCTAGTGCTAAGAAGTGGCTAATGAATTGCTTTGCATCAACAACTGTTGGATAAACATGAGCTCATTAGTGGTTTTTTTGGTCCCCAATGGAGAATTAAAAGAAACAATAAATTACCCAACCTTTTTGTAAAATGTCTATAATACTCCACAGTTCCCCATCCTCACGAGGCCTCGCACTCCATGCGGTACAAATTCTCTTCCATCCCACACCATTTAGGCCTCTCGTTCGTTCCCAATTTTCAGATGGTATGTTTTCCTTAATTCATTCCCAATTTTCAGATGGTATGTTTTCCTTAATTAAAAAGCAGGAAAGAGCAGGAGGTTTATTAATGAGTGGAGACATGAGTAGTGATTAAATAAAATTGTAGTATAAAGTAAAACTATTTCTGAGTGTGCATAAACAGTAAAAAGTTGATCTTTAATAGGAACATAAACAGAAATTTTTAATTTTGTTTTTGTAACATTCATGTGTACTCCCAAGTTCAGAGTCATTAAGCCAGTTTGTAAAATCTACCTGATAAAAAATGTATGTGGAATTAATCACATTCAAATTTAGAAATAAAACCCTTTTAATAGTAAAATATGAGTGACCCTTATTCTGCGACTGTACGTGTGGTATGTGTTTAAGAGAAATGAGAAAGCAGAGGTTTGGAGAGATGACAAGTGGTTTGCCCTGGATCACATAGGTAGTTAGAAACACAGGACAGGTGAGATTTGCTCTGATTCTCTCCAACTGTGGCTGTAAATACTTGAGAATTCTGTCTCTTCCCTTTCTACTTTATTCTGGTTTTTCCCCCCTGCAAATCTCTCTTCTTTTCCCCATTCAGGTTGGTTATCTATGGGCAGTACTGCAGTGGAGTGGAGTTGGCCATCTCTAGTTTAGACAATATTTCTAAGACAAAAGAAGATGTAAAACTGAAATTAGAGGTACCTGTTTATTTTTTGTTTATGAAATAAAGTAAGAGAAACCTCAAAGCAAGGGGAGGGAGATGGCAGATGGGCACAATAGGTGAAGGGGAAAGGGAAGTACAGCCTTCTAGTTATGGAATAAATAAGTCACGGAAATACAAGGCACAGCGTAAGGAATGCAGTCAGTGATACTGTAATAGTGATGTAAGGAGACAGATGGCAGCTGTGCTTGTAGTGAACACAGCATCGTGTAGAAACTTGTCAAGTCACTAAGTTGTACACCTGAAACTAAGGAAACATTGTCAACCATACCCCAAAAAAGAAAAAGAACAAAAACAGATGTATTCCTTTTGAGATCAGTGCAATAATAAATCTCCCCATGTATTCTAAATATAATTTCATGTCAAGTTTATATAATATTTTCATAGCTAGCTCTATAAAATAATGTGATAGTAATAATATAACAGTAGTAAAATCTACAACTTATAGCTCTGTTTTACATACATTATCTCGTTAGGTCCTTATGACTCTGTGAGATACGTGCAGTTAATTTTCTTCCCTTATGGATGAGAATGCTAAGGTTCAGAGAAATTATGAGTCATTTGCCTATGGTCACCTAGGTAGGAGGTACAAGAAAAGTAAGATATATGAGAGATAATGGACATGTAGATTAAAAATGGTTATTAGAAATACAAGACATTTAGGATCAGGTGTGTTAAAAAGGGCATGAATATTGCCTAAAAGAGAGAAAATGAGACAGACATAAGTAAGATTAAGTTGTTGTGTGACAACCAGTAATTGGGCTCCTTGAGTAAGACTGATCACTTCAGTGTGGGTAGAATGTGGGAAATTGCTCTGGAGAGGTAATATTGGAGTTAGGTCACCAAAGAATGGGGTGAGTGGACAGGGGAGGTTCTAAGGAGAGCATTCTGACCAGATGGGTTGGGAAATTTTGAGAAATGGAGAGTAGGTCAGAATAAACAGAACACATGGTAGCAATGGAAAATAAATCTGGAGATTGTGTTAAGTTTTTGTGTTTTTCTTGTATATCATTTTTTTCCCACAGGAAGAGTTTGTACTTTCAAAGAACTTTTGCAAAAGATTATTTATATGTTATATGAATTGTCATCCCAATTATGTGTTCCATATGTTTGGATTTTCTTTTTTTTTAAGATTTTATTTATTTATTTGACACAGAGAGAGAGATCACAAGTAGGCAGAGAGGCAGGCTCCCTGCTGAGCAGAGAGCCTGATGTGGGGCTCAATCCCAGGACCCTGGGATCATGGCCTGAGCTGAAGGCAGAGGCTTAACCCACTGAGCCACCCAGGTACCCATGTTTGGATTTTCTTAAATGTTGGGTAGAGATACATCATCAACTCTTAAATGGCTGTGTTTGGCTTAGTTGATTCTCTGGTGTCCCCTTTGCTGTCTTTGTTCTATTTAACAATGAGGTCAGGTGATGAAAGGGAAAAAAGAGGCACATGATTTTCAAAATAGAACTTTGATTGTTTTAGCATATTTGGTATGGTTTCATAACTCCCACAATGGGGAACTATTGTTTAGAAAGTTTACACGTCAACAGGCTCTCGAGTAACCATACTAACTCTCTATCATGGATCTTTTCCCCTGACTTCTTGTAATCCTCTGATGATGCAGATTTTATGTGTTCTGGTGACTTGAATCACCACTGAACAATAACCTGACACCCTCTTAGTGTAAAGGGTTCCCTCTGCTCTTGGGAGAAGAGAGCCTCAGAAACAGAGCTATAAGCCACCTTGACTCAAATTAAAATATGATGCTAAGATAAAACTTTACGACTTACACAACTAGTTCTTACCTAGTTGAGCAGTTTTTTTTTTATTTTTAATTTTTTAATTAATTTTTTTTTATTTGAGAGAGAAATTGAGCAAAGCTGGGAGGGGAGGGAGAAACAGGCTCCCTGCTGAGCAAGGAACCTGATGATGTGGGGCTCCATCCCAGGAACCTGGGACCATGACCTGAGCCGAAGGCAGATGCTTAACAGACTGAACCACCCAGGTGCCCCATAGAACAGTTTTGTTTTTTGTTTTTTGTTTTAACCAAAAGTATAAAACTCTGGCTCAGGATGGGAGTCTACAAGTTGTCATTCAAACTTCCATTATACTCAGCATTGTTTGGATGTTCCTCTCCCTTCCTTCAGAGTCACTGTCAAAGCCCTGCCTATGACCTGCTCTGGCAACATAGTTTGTGCAATAGATCACTCTCTGTCTGAGGGAAAGAGAGAACCTTCAGCTGAGTTTGGAAGGCTCAGGGCAAGGGGCTGCTGGGTCTCCTTTTTTGCCTGAAAAGTCAATACTTCTGACCAGGGTCCTGATTTGCAGGTATTTATCAGACACTCACTGTGACACCTCAGTAGATACTCTTTGCTGGGACTGTCCTGACATGACAAAGGGAAAGCTACGCTATTCTCCATGTGTCTCTGCCTCCTGCATGTCTTCAGTATTTTTTGTGCTTTTTTGAGCAAGTGTGTGGATGAGTGGGGGAAGAAGTGGAGGGAGTGGGAATGAGAGAATCTTAAGTGGGCTCTAAAACCCTGAGATCATGACCTGAGCTGAAATCAAGAGTTGGGCACTTAACCGACTGAGCCACCCAGGCAACCCAGGTCTTCAGTTTTGTGGTTACGTTTGCTCCTGGTGATTTTTGTCTTCTTTTCTACTTTGGAACCAAGATAACCTACGGCAAAGGGTAACAGAGTCTCTTTGTCTTGTCCTATATGCTAGCGCATCCCTATTCCTTTATTGTCTTCTCAGAGTTGAAGTTCAGCTAATAAGCATGTGACTTCTACCCTTTATTTACTTTCAATACTAATAAGTATTTCACTCCTCAGACTCAGACCCCAGTTGTAGGAAATGCCAGCAATGTTTGTTGTTGTTGTTTTTTACTTCCTGAGCCTGTGACTTGGAAATTCAAGGAACTAATTCTTTCCCCAACAGTTTTAAACTGACTTCTATAACATAACAAAGTGAATTTTTAAGTATAACATTTCTCTCCCTAACACTATGTTAAGATCTCTCTCTTTCTCTCTCTCTCTCACACACACACACACACACACACACACGTATATATTAAGATACAACCTCAATTCCAAGGAACTTAAAATGCAACTAGGGAGATGAGACTCATTCATTATAATAATTTTAACAGTTTAACCTCCTATTTGAGACCCATGATCCAGAACTCTCCACAGTCTGTAAAAGCAAGAAATCAGTTGACTTAGGTATTCTTCTCAGTGAACTGCAGCAATTGACAAGACATTAGCTAACATGTCCAGATGTGTCCCCAGTTCTTGGTTAAGACCTATAGTCCAATACTAATTAAGTTACTATGGTCATTAGAGCTAATGGTGTTTACTTTATAGCTCCTGACAATATATCCTTCCATGTGCCAGAAAAGCTAAATGTGGGCAAAGTGGAAACAAACTCATGAATAAAGCAGTATTTTCTTGAATGCAACTCTTCCTATGAACTAGAAAATTCCTTGGTCTGGGATGTGCAATTGTCTGAGGATTTTGGACTTAGTTTCTCCCTAATAATAATAATTTTATGGAAATTTGGTTTTTTTTTTTTTTTTTAAACTAGATCACAGGGGCCCCTGGGTGGCTGAGTCATTAAGTGTCTGCCTTCAACTCGTCAGGATCCCAGGGTCCTGGGGTTTGAGCCCCACATCACGTAGTGCTCCCTGCTCAACAGGGAGCCTGTTTCCTACCTCTTCCACTCCCCCTGCCCATGTTCACTTTCTTGCTGTGTCTCTGTCAAATAAATAAAAAAAATATTTAAAATAAAGTAAAAATTACATCACAGGGGCACCTGGGTGGCTCAGTGGGTTAAAGCCTCTGCCTTCGGCTCAGGTCATGATCTCAGGGTCCTGGGATCGAGCCCCACATCGGGCTTTCTGCTCGGCAGGGAGCCTGCTTCCTCCTCTCTCTCTGCCTGCCTCTCTGCCTACTTGTGATCTGTCTCTGTCAAAGAAATAAATAAAATCTTAAAAAAAAAATTACATCACAAATATGTGAGAAACAGTAAAATCAGAAAAGCAACTTGTTCAAGGTTACACAGCCAAGCCTTGTGATTTGAATTCATGCTTTGATATTTCAGAGTACTTTCCTCAAAGTCATAGTTAATGGCAAAAGAATGGACACAAGACAACACTATTTTTAGATAAACTTTTAAGAAAGGAGAGTGTGGGATTTTAAAAAAAAAAATTAGGCTTTTGAAACTTTGAATCCCATAAGTTTTATACTTTAGCAAATAGTTAGAGTCAGTCTTTGCATTTCATTCAGTTTCACAAATGTTTATTAAGCAAGAACTAGATTCTTAAAGCTGTAAAAGATGCATTGGGGAAGACACTGTGTACAGCAACAGTTAAAATGCCCACAAGGCACACAGGGAGACCACAATTTTGATCGGGATTATCACAAAAGGCCTAGATGTATAGTTCTTGAGGAGGATGAACAATCTGGTTGGAAGCTGGACCAAATGCATGGTGGTTGGGGAGAACAGAATGAAAAAATGGCAGGCCCAGGCAGGAGGCACATGACCAGCTGGATGAGTAGGGACTTGTTCCCGATTCCCCGCCCAGAGGCCGGCTAGGGGTGATTAGTAGAAGGTGGAGCTGTAAGGGTGAGTAGAAGAAGACCCCAGAGGGCCATTAGAGAAAATAATTTTCATGCAAAAAATAGTTCTGCTTAATGAATCATTTTAGAGTTGAAATGCTACAAGGTTTATTTGTCTTTTTGGATTTTAATTAGATACTTACTATTTTTCAGAAAGGATTATTGAGGAGGAAAATAACAAGATATTTATTATATAATAAGAGTTTTGTTTATGGCCTCTGCATCTTTTAATGATTGCTTTATGACTTCCTTTGATAAAATTAACAAAGTTTTTAAAGAAGTTTTTAAAAACATTTCATTAGGAATGTTCCAAAAGAGCAAATAATGGAAAATTTACTCTTCGAGATTTGCTTGTGGTTCCTATGCAACGTGTTTTAAAGTATCACCTTCTCCTCCAGGTATGTAACTTAAAACTGTCAGTTTGGTTATTTGTTCATTTATTCATTTAACAGAGTATTCATGAAGCATCAATTACGCTCCGTATACTCTATGTTTGGACTGTATCCCCTTGTGATTTTTCAGTGGTTAGTAGAGCTGAGTGGGAAATAACAGAACAGCTGGAAAATTTTTCTTTTAGCAAAGATGATTCTGTATCTTCCACAAAGTCACTTTTTGTGTCCTTCCAATAGAACTGGCTCCAAAAAAACAAACGAACAACAACAACAACAATAACAAAACAAGGCAAAACAAAAAGATCCCTTTAACCAGGTCTTCTTTGGTTAGCAGGAATCATTTATTAGACTCTCAGTGCTGCAATACCCCTGATTTTTGGCAGGTTAAGTGTTTAGGACTTTTTGTCTTATAACCATAAACTAAAAAAGAATTCTGTCACATTCCATGTTGCTTTCTGCTGTAATAAATTATAATAAGACTACATTTATTTTGAAGTGATTCTTGTTATAACCACAAAGCTTATGGTTTCCACAGTTAGTCCTCTAATGAGGGTGGAGAGTCTTATAAATTTAATTTGATAGCTGTACCAGGAGGCTCATTAGTTCTGCTCCAAGGAAATGTCTTACAGTATTAGTCTGTCATCTCTGCTGATGCTTGTGAAATGTCATTTTAAAAAGATCTACTACCTGTATGTGAAATATAATTTTGAGTCTGCTGCACTTTATACATCTCGTATATTAAATTTCTTGAACTGTAGTTGCAAAATTATTAGTCATCTCTATTTTTGTTCTACTGAGAAATCAGAAAAATTCAAACCCTGATTATTTCTTAAAAATGCATTAAAACATTTATGAGACCTAAACTCAAAGCAACTTAATCAAATTGGATTTTATGAAAAAATAATGAGGACTTAAGCAATCAGTCTCTGAGACATCATGAAACTAAAAACATGTCCAAAATAAGATAGTAATTTATTTTGTAACTTTGGAATAGTCAAATATCAATTGAAGATTTTAAAAGGTACAGTTTTCAAGAAACATACATTTGGTCATTTATAAAGTTCTAGAGAGACTTTTATAAGTTTAAAATATGACTATACTTTTTTGCAATTAGCAGGCTTTTTTCCTTAATCCCTCTTGGATTGTTTTATATTTTAAATTTCAAATGAATGTTTAGTTTTGTGTATGGTGTAAGAGAATGGTCGAGTTCCAGTCTTCTGTATATAGCTGTCCAATTTTCCCAGCACCATTTATTGAAGAGACTGTCTTTTTCCCATTGGATATTTTTTTCCTGCTTTGTCAAAGATTATTTGACCATAGAGTCGAGGGTCCATATCCTGGCTCTCTATTCTGTTCCATTGCTCTATGTGTCTGTCTTTGTGCCACTACCATGCTATCTTATTGATCACAGCTTTGTAATAGACTTTGAAATCAGGCAATGTGATGCCCCCCAGCTTTGTTTTTCTTTTTCAACATTTCCTTGGCTTTTTGGGTCTTTTCCAGTTCCATACAAATTTTAGGACCATTTCTTCCAGCACTTTGAAAAATACACAAAGATGAACTCAAAATGGATGAAAGACCTCAATGTGAGACAGGAATCCATCAAAATCCTAGAAGGGAACATAGGCAGTAACCTCTTTGACCTGGGCCACAGCAGCTTCTTTCAAGACACATCTCCAAAGGCAAAGGAAACACAAGCAAAAATGAACATTTAGGACTTCATCAAGATAAAAAGCTTCTGCACAGCAAAGGAAACAGTCAACAAAACGAAGAGGCAACCCATAGAGTGGGAGAAGATATTTGCAAATGACACTACAGACAAAGGGCTGATATCCAACATCTATAAAGAACTCCTAAAACTCAACACACAAAAGACAAATAATCAAGTCAAAAAGTGGGTGGAAGACATGAACAGACACTTCACCAATGATGGCTAACAGACACCTGAAAAAATGTTTATCATCATTAGCTATCAGGGATATTCATATCAAAACCACACTGAGATACCACCTTACACAGTTAGAATGGCCAAAATTAACAAGGCAAGAAACAACAAATGTTGGAGAGGTTGTGGAGAAAGGGGAACCCTTTTACACTGTTGGTGAGAATGCAAGTTGGTGCAGCCACTTTGGAAAACAGTGTGGAGGTTCCTCAAAAAGTTAAAAATAGAGGTATTAGCATTGTACACAATAGCCAAACTGTGGAAAGAGCCAAGATGCCCTTCAGTGGACGATGGATAAAGGAGATGTGGTCCATATATACAATGGAATATTACTCAGCCATTAGAAAGGATGAATGCCCAACTTTTGCATCAACATGGATGGGACTGGAGGAGATCATGCTGAGTAAAATAAGTCAAACAGAGAAAGTCAATTATCATATAGTTTCACATACTTGTGGAACGTAAGGAATAGCATGGAGGACATTAGGAGAAGGAAGGGAAAAATTAATGGGGTGGAAACCAGAGGGGGAGACAAACCATGAAAAACTGTGGTCTCCAAGAAACAACCTGAGGGTTTTAGATGGGATCGGAGGTGGTGGGATGGGTTGGCCCGGGGGTGGGTATTAAGGAGGGCACATATTGCATGGAACACTGGTGTTATTTGTAAACAATGAGTCTTGGAACACTATATCAAAAACTCATGATGGACTGTATGGTGACTAACATAACATAAAAAGTAGTAATAACAAAATATTTAGTTTTATGATTTTTTAAAATAGGGAAATTTTTATTTGGGGTAACATATAGATTAAAAATTCTAGAAATGTTTTTCTATCTTGATAGTGTGGAGTAGAATTTGTCTAATGTTTAGACATTCGTTACATTAATGTGGTATGAATTTGAACATTTCCTACTTACTGGTATACTTTAGTGGGGAAATAATTTTTGAAATACTTTATGGTTTGAAATCACAGATTTATAAAATTAGAGTATTTGAGAGTAGAGTATTTGAAACTGAGAAAAAATTGAAAATAGAAGTAAGAGAATATTACGTGGACAAGTTTTTTATACTTAACAAATCTGATGGCTGTAAATCGTCTTTATAACTAGAAACACTACTGATACCAAATTCAGCAAAAAGTTTTGAGTGTCTCCCCTGTTCAACACATAGTGTTAGGCATTCATGTTATAGAACAGCTCTTGCCTTCCCAGACTGATAAAGCTCACTGTTTGGATAGGGAAAATGAAATGTAAGCTTCTGGGTGCCATACAATGTGATAGGTATACAAAAAGCACGGAGGGAGTACAAATAAAGGCCTAGTTAATTGTGCCTGGGGAGGCTGGGGATTTCTGAAGCTGTCATAGAAAGCTTCACTGAGAAGTAATTCTTGAATTGGTTGTGAAGGGAACAGTAGGAGTTCAATAGAGGCATCAGAGAGGAAGGGCTTTCTAAGGAGAGCAAACAGCATGCCTAATGGGATCAGACACGAGAACATATTTTGAGAATTGCAGTTAATTTAATGTGGATAGAATATAGGTTGTTTGGATGGAGTGGAAAGAAATTGAAAGAGGTTTGCAGAATTCAGACCATGAAGGGTCTAAGAGGTATGGTTGATGACCTGAAGCTTTTGTGGGCATCACAGACGTCTAAATAGGATAGGGACAGGATCCAGTTTATATATTAGAAACCTAGCTCTTATGTCAATAGAATGAATAGATTGTAGTCCAGAGAGGCTACAAGTCAGAAGCAAATTTAGGATAACCCATGTGAAAAAGAGTAAGGACTTGAACCAATGTATTGGCAGTGAGGATGGTTTCCAGGGGTAAGATCAAAGTCAGTATCGCTAGAAGATAGTATGGGAGAGGAGCACCTGGGACACTTTTTAGATTTTGGCTTAGGTGATTCCATTGGTGGGGGTGTCCTCATTCAATAAAACATAAACAGGAACCAGAGCAGGGTTGTGAGTGAAGGTGCCTTAAGTTTGAAATTGTTGGGTTGGATGGGCTTGTGAGATACCCAGGTAGAACTGTTTAGCTCGACAGAAGATTCTGGGACTTGGGCGTGCTTTCTGGGTTTGAGCACATTTCTTTGAGAGGGATTTTGTCTTATTAGGTGAGCATTGATGTTATAGAGATGATTGTGATAGAATTTGTAGAGTATGTACAGTAAGAATAACAGAAGACCAAGGTGAAAATCTAGGGAATGGCAAATTTCAAAGGTACAGATAAAGAAAAAAATATGAGAGATGGGTGATTTGGCAGAAATTTAGGATGGACTAACCACCACCAACAATAATAGCAACAAACAAAAGATCCTAATGTTTCTGAAGCTAGGAGAGAGGAGTAGTCATCAGAATCAGTTGACAATGAGGAGATCTTTCATGACATTTGGGAAGGATGTCAGTGTAATGACGGGGGATAGAATTCAGGTTCATCTTTGAATGGAAAGTGTTTATAACCATTGTTTTATATCCTTTCGGTGTCTAGCTGGTCTTCTTATAGTTTGAGATTTTTTTATGGAACTAGAACCTAGTTAAGTTGCATCACATTTATTATGTTATGGTGCAAATAGTGATAAAAATGGCTTATTTCTTAAAATGTTTTCTTTCTTATATTTTGGTTTTAATTGATGAAGGTAATACTGAATTGTATCTTCCAAATAGGAATTGGTCAAGCATACTACTGATCCTACTGAGAAGGCAAATCTGAAACTGGCTCTTGATGCAATGAAGGTAAGGCAAATGTATCATTAACTTCTTTGTATTTTTTATTCCTGCTTAAAAACAATAGAATACAAACGCATAATACGCTGATATATTTTAATATATAAGTATTTGTATAGTTTTGTATTTGGTGGGAAGAGATAGGTACTTATTAAAGATTTATTAATTAATTAATTTATTTTAAAGGGAGAGAGTGTACGTGAGTCGAGGGAGGGGCAGAAGGAGAGAATCTTCAAGCAGAGTCCTGAGCTGAGCCCGGAGCCCGATGCAGCCTGATGAGGGGCTCGATCTCACCTGAGATCATGACTGGAGCCAAAATCAAGAGTTGGACACTTAACTGACTGAGTTATCCAGGCACCCCAGAAAATTGGATATATATTTTTTTAAATTTTATTTATTTGAGAGAGAGAAGAGAGACCACAAGCAGGGGAAGCAACAGAAGGAGAGGGAAAAGCAGGCTTCCTGCTGAGCAGGGAGCCTTACACGGGGCTCGATTCCAGGACCCTGAGATTATGACCTGAGCCAAAGGCAGAGGCTTAACCCACTGAGCCACCCAGGTGCCCTGAGAACTGGATATTTTTAAACTGAAATAGATATGGTTGCATGGATTTAGTTCTTAGACAAAGATACATAAAACCAAGAGGTGTATTAAAATAACTTTTGTTTTTTATGAAAGTATGACAACTTTTATAACCACCAGGAATGATTTAATATAATGGTTTTATTTCACATTATTTTTGTGGTTACTAATAGAATCCTGTTGGCTTGTGCAAGCAGCAGGTCAGCTGGTGACTTCAGAACACTGGCGTGACTTACTTTCCTCAAGTGAGGCTTTCTGCCAGGTTGACCTTCATGGATGTTGTACATCAGCACAGGTGGATTTCAGTTGGGGTCTCTATTTCTAGGTAAATCTGAAAATCAAGAGCTACAAGTAGATAAAGGCAGACTTTTAAACACACTGGGCAATCTGTAATGCTCCAATTTCTATGTTGTGCTGCACACTGACTTTGAAAGAATTATTTGCTCCTAACTTAAAACGTAAGCCACTATTTGTTTTCAAGACAAAATGGCGATGTGACTCTATCAGAAGGATGCTAATGGCTTCTCTGCATCCCTCTGCCAGGGTCCGTGAGGGCTCTGCTCTTCGGCTGATTTCAGGAGCCTGTCAGGAACCATCACACAATTATTTGTTATTCTTTTCCAAAGTCATACCAAGTTTCCAATTTTTAAAGAAATCCTTTATAGATACATCCTATGAAAAGTCAGACTTTCATTTAGAACAAAGTTAGGAACTGCTTTTTTGTCCGAGGTCTGTTCCTACTGTTGCAGATGAATTTAAGAGGGTAGAGAAAAAAGAACACCCAGAAAACAGGAAAATCTAGAGCACATATAATAAAAATAGCTACTTACAGTATGGAAAGATTAGCTAATGTTTCCTCAAATATGAGAAAAAGACATTTTAAAGTAGGTGAAGAAGGCACGTGGAGAAACGTGTCCCACACTGTTTGTTCACTTTTAATTCATTTCAGTGCTCTGAGGTTTTTCTCATCCTCTTTGCTTCTCCTTCATTAACTCTTTAAAACTGAACTGGCGGCAAGACTGAAAGCTCTCCAGGAACTAAGACACCAACTGGTTGCAGGAAACAGTCCTGCTGGACTGGACTCACTGTCTTACTTTTAGTTACTTTTTTCTCCCTGTTAATCCTTCATTATTGCGCTATTGACCTTATTCTAACCCGTGTAAGAATGTGATTCTCTCAAGGTCACTTATTAACATGTCTGGAATTTGCATTCTCCTGACCTAGTTTCCTTTTGTTGTTCTGCGTGGTGGCAGATTTTGTTTGTTTTTGTTTTTTATCCCTGCTCTTCTCAGAGGTGAGGTGAATGACAACGCCTTCGTCTTCCCAGCTGTACTGCAGACGCTTCAAAACCTGCTTTTCAGTAGCAACTTTGATTGATTGGATGTTCGTTTTATTGTCTTTGAAAAGTTATGGTGATTACTTTTACCGCTAATGAAATTAATGGTGTGTTTTCTTTCAAACAGTTTTCGTCTCTTCTCCAGTCTTATCTTGACTTCCTTTTATACCCTTCTCTTTATTCTTTAGGACTTGGCACAATATGTGAATGAAGTGAAAAGAGATAATGAGACCCTTCGTGAGATTAAACAGTTTCAGCTCTCTATAGAAAATCTGGTATGTAATTATCCTGCTATCCAGCTTCCCTAACTCACAAATCAGAGGACATTCTACAAGTTGTTTTTGAAGAAAAGATAATTTACCTTGAAGTTTCTGGTGTTGTAGGTTTTTTTCTGGTTTTTGTTTGACAGCACCCACATAGCTATCTCATGGCACCTGTGAAACGGGTGTCATTGTCTAAGGACTTTCCGCCTTTGCTTGTCCCTCCCTCTTTAATCACACTATGCTTATTCCCTTGGCTGTACAAGTTCAAACATTGGAGTTTTGGGTTTTTTTTTTCTTTTTCTTTTCTTTCCTTTACCCCACACATATTCATGGCTGATTCCTGTTAATGTATTCATTTTATATATTTACTGGGTGACTACTGTGTGCCAGACGTTTCCTTGGGGCCAGGGCTATAACTATGAACAGCAGGGTCTCGTGGCTGAGGAGGCAGTAAAAAGATGTTTAAAAATGCTCTACTGAGATCCATGCTGTGAACAGGGTGAGGCAACAGAGGATACTAAGGAGAGGCCTCATTTAGATGAGATGGTGAGAAAAAGTCCTTCTGAGTCATTTGCCTCTTGAACCTGAGGCATAAGAAGAAACCAGTGGTGCAGAGATCTGGGGGAGAGGATTCCAGACAGAAGCCATAGCAAATGAAATGGCCAGAGATGGGCCGGAACCTTTAGTGTTCGAGAGGCTGAAAGGCAAGAGTGTTTGGGTGAGTGAAGGGCTCTGAGTTGGGAGAGTGGTGAGTGGGAGGACCAGTTTCAAGAAGGAGCTGGTGGAGGCCTGGATGGAGCTATGGGCAGTGAAAATAGAGATACACCTATGAAGGTGTATCTGAAACATCTTTTCACGTATATAGTCACGTCCCCCTTTCAGGACCTCATCTGCCACCTCTCCTGTCACAGAAACCTCCAGCCATTCTTTCACATCGTTGCACTTCCAGATGGTGGACTTCTCAGTTCTGTCTCTTTCCCAACCTTGTCAGTATTGCCGTTGCCTTCAGGATTCAGGCAACATTCCTTAGCGTGGTATTTAAAGTTCTCAGTGATCTGGGCTTAAACTACTTTCCTGAACTCATCCAGCCAGTACCTGCCCACATACTTTGCTTTGCAGCTCTCCTGCTGTGTCGTAAGGTCTCTAATTTGCCTTACATTTTTATCATTCCGCCTTTGATGATAATGGAGTCAAACCCTAGGATATCTTCCCATTATTTCCTATCAAATTCCCTCAAGATCCAACTAAAATAATTCTTTCCCTAATCTCCCATTATTACTTTCTCTTTGTAATTCCATAGCATATTGCCTGGATAGCTGTTTAGCAGTGTGTGTGTGTGTGTGTGTGTGTGTGTGTGTGTGTGTGTGTAATATATATGACATTTACCATTATTGAATGTACAATTTTGTGATGTTAAATATATTCATGTTGTTGGGCAGCCATCACCACTGTCCATCTCCAGAACTCTCTTCATCTTGTGAAACTGAAGCCCTGTACCCATTAAATACTAACTCTGTTCTCCCCTCCTCCCAGCCCTCTGGCAACCACCATTTTACTTTCTGTCTTTGTGAATTTGACTACTCTAGGTACCTCATGCAGGTAGAATCATGTATTATTTGTCCTTCTGTAACTGGCATACTTTATTTAGCATAATGTCTTCAGTGATCTTCCTTGTTGTAGCATGTATCAGACTTCCATTTTGTTTTTTTTTTGTTTGTTTGTTTGTTTTTTTAAATATTTTATTTGTTTATTTGACAGAGAGTTAGAGAGAGAGCACAAGTAAGCAGAGCGTCAGGGAGAGGGGAAGAGAGAGAAGCAGGCTCTCTGCTGAGCAGGGAGCCTGATGTGGGGCTCGATCCCAGGACCCTGGGATCATGACCCAAGCTGAAGGCAGTCGCTTAACCAACTGAGCCACTCAGGCGCCCCTCCATTTTGTTTTTTAAAGAATTTCCTTTTTGAGGCTTTAAAATATAGCATTGCTTATACCCCACATTTTGGTTATCCATTCAGCTGTCTGTGGACACTTGGATTTCTTCCCTCTTTGACTATTGTGAATGATGCTGCTGTGAACACTGGTGTGCAAATATATGCTCAAGTCCCTGCTTTCACTTCTTTTGGATATATACCCAGAAATGGAATTGCTAGATTATATGGTAATTCTAGGTTTAATTTTTTGAGGGCTAGCCATACTGTTTTCTGCAGTGACTGCCCCATTTTACATTCCCACCAGCAATGCACAGGAATTCCAGTATCTCCACATCCTTGCCAACACTTGTTCTTTCCTTTTCTTCTTTTTTCTTTTTCAAAAAAATAATATTCATCCAAATGGGTACAAAGTAGCATCTTATTATGGTTTTGACTTTGTATTTCCCTAATGATTAGGGATATTGAGTATCTTTTCATATGCTTTTTGGCCACTTATATATCTTTCTAGAGAAATGTCTATTCAAGTCCTTTGCCTATTTTTGAGTCAGGTTGGCTTATTTTTTGTTTTTGTTGAGTTATAAGAGTTCTTTATATATTCTGGATATCCATTTTTGTCACACATTTTGTTTGCAAGTATTGTCTGCCATTCTGTAGGTTGCCTTTTCACTCTTTTGATCTTATCCTTTGCACAAAACGTTCCGTTTTGATGAATTTCAACTTATTGGCCTTTTGTGGATAGTGCTTTCCACTAGTGGTATAGTATAGTGGCATATCTAAGAAATCATTGCAAAATCTAATATCATAAAACTTTCCCCCTGTGTTTTCATCTAAGAGTTTTATATATTTGGTTTTTTGATCAGTGTGGTATACTGTTTAAGGTAAGGGTCCAACTTCATTCTTCTGTCTGTGCATATCCAGAGTCCCCAGAATATTTTGTTGAAAAAAGCTGTTCTATCCTCATTGAATGATCTTGGTACTGTTTTCAAAAATCCTTTGACCAGATATATATGACGGCCTATTTCCAGGTATTCTGTTTCATTGGCCTAGAAGTCTATCTTTATGCAAGTGCCACCCTGTTTTGATTACCATAGTTTTATAGTAAGGTTTGAAATCAGAAGACTAAGACCGCAACTTTGTTCTTTTTCAAGATTGTTTTGCCTATTAAGAGTCCCTTTGGATTCCACATGAATTTTATGATGGAGTTTTCTATTTTCTGCAAAATACATCATGGGGACTTTGTTAGGGAATATCTATTTTTATACTTTCTTGCAGCACAATTAATTACATATCTGCTTCCTCTATTAGAATATAATCTCCCAGATGTTAATGATAATTTTCAGTCAGTTCTTTTTCTCCTTAGAACCTTGTACAGTAGGTTTTCATAAATACTTACTTTTTTTATTGTCTGCCTCTGGGGAATTAGTTCATTATGTTTAATCATTAAGTCATACTTTTTATTCTTGAGATCTTAGCTCAAGGAAGCTATCCTTGGCTTCCTAGAACAAATGAAGCCCCTGGCAATGCATGTTTCCTGTACTCTTTCTTCTAATTATATACTTCTGTGAATATTTTCCCCCCACTGGGCAGGGGAAAACTTTGCCCTGTATCTACTACCGTGTCTGGCATACAGTGGGTGCTCAGTAAGTATTAGTTGCTGTAACTTTGTTGTGATTTGAATTCCTCCAGTTAATTCTTGCTTTTGGTAGCTAACTTCCCTATTAAGTTATAAGTAAAATTAATTAATGTCCCCAGTATACCTCCTTGGCCCAAAGACAGACTGTTTTTGAAAGTGAACCATATAGACCTGAGCATTTTAGACTAAGTGTGCTAAAAATGTAAAATGATAAAACTTGTAGTGTGATAAGGTGGCTGTTCCTAGCAAATATCCTTGCTAATATTTATTTGTTTTTACATGATTACAAAAATCTGAGACATATGAATTTTATATTTTAGAACCAACCAGTTTTGCTTTTTGGACGACCTCAGGGAGATGGTGAAATTCGGATAACTACTCTAGACAAGCACACGAAACAAGAAAGGTGAGAAAAGAGGAGCAATACTTATTTTCAGAATAAGTGGTTAGTATCAGAAGATTGAGAAAACAATTCTAGGACAAAGGGAAGCAGAGGAAGAAAAACAAGGGGACAGACCAACCTATGGTTTTTCTACAATTTTCTCATAGATATGTTAGAGGAAAAGACCTGTGTTTTGGTATCTGTTGATTTATCTAAGTTCTTAAGAGGGACATGACAAATATCGCTTTAGCTAAGGTTCAAAGGGACACACTGAAATGAGAGTAGAGCTACAGTAATAGACAACAAAATTGTTTGATTTCTTTTTTTGGTATACATTTGAAAACAACTAAAAATATGAAGTGCTCTAAGAAGTTGGTCTAAGTGGGGACCATTTCATGATATTTTCTTGAGGGAAGTTCAGGTTAGTGAAGTTGGCCTGGTATCCCAAATTATATACATAGGGTTGCTAAACTTGTTTGGTTGGTTAAAACGGCCATTTCTGGAACTTTTGGAATGAGAAAGTCAGCCAGCAGGGGGCAGTGTCAGCTCTTGCTTCCAACTTGATACCCAGGTGCCTCTCCAGGAAAATAGTCTTCAAAAGTGATGCAAGTATTAGAGCTATGTAAATGTATCATTTTCATTATCATTATTTTAAAATGTATACATGTTAATTCCTGAGAATTTCCTATAAGATGAAAATATTGATATGGGGTGATAGGATTACAAGTTTGTTTTTTCTCCCCCAATTACATTGTCATTAAAAATTAAGAGAAAAGAAACATCAACACAAAAATATAACCATAATTTTTCTAGCTTGCATTTTGCTCATATGCTGCTTGGTTTGTGTTTCTGGTGGTCCATGAAATCATGAGGAGCAACATAGAGGGTGAAAGTGCGGGTTCCACAGTCAGATCTGGTGTGAACCTTGCTCTGCCCTTCACTAGCTATGCGACCTTGAGCAAATTATTTAACTTCTCTAATCCTGTTTCCTCCCCAGTAAAATGAAGATGAAAATGATACCTCAGCATGTGGTCCTGAGGATTTAAATTAAGTGAGTCATCTTTGTGAAAGGGACGGACCCCTCCCTACACATTCTGGTCCACTCCTCAAAATATCAGAAGTTCACTACTCTTGTCATTAGTATTCTGTAAACGTCTAGTTTTTAAACGGGAAAAAAAAATTGCTCCTGGACACTTTGTGGTTTATCTCAGTTGTTCCTGAGCAACTCTGAACGTATATATTCTTACTATAATTTTGGATATTTTTAAAATTAAACTAAGGTAAAGTAAGACCATTCATCCCGTCAAGGGTAGTGCCAGGGTATGTACAGTTTATTCTTTTCCATATGCAACACTGCCTTGGTCTTTAACTCAAAGAAACAATGTTTGGTTGGTTTAATTAAATTTTACCAAGGAAAAGTTAATGTACATTCTTCCAAACCATTTTAAATCTCTCTCTCTCTCATTCTCTCAGGCATATCTTCTTATTTGATTTGGCAGTGATTGTATGTAAAAGGAAAGGCGATAACTATGAAATGAAGGAAATAATAGATCTTCAGCAGTACAAAATAGCCAACAATCCTACAACTGATAAAGAAAATAAAAAGGTGAATCTTTGAAAATTAATTACCATAATTTACTCATAACTTTGACCATTCAAGGAGAGGATACTAATGCATTAATATGAGAGGGCTTATCAGTGCAGGTGATTTTTCTTTCTAGAGATTGATGAGGAGCAGGGCTCTGTGAGACATAATTGGACAGTGGCACAACTGACAGTGATCATCTCTAAAGCCTTAATGGTCAAGTAAAATGCATTTGGCATAAGAACTGTTACAGAGATAAAGCTGACTATTGAAGTCTGATTGTTCACAGTTTGTATGCTGATAATGTTATGAGTGGTTTTTGAATGTCTGTGGTGGTGTTTTAGTGAATTTAGAAGAATGATGTTATCACTGAATGATACATATTAACCTGAGTAATATTACTTTCAACAGTGGTCTTATGGCTTCTACCTCATCCATACCCAAGGACAAAATGGATTAGAATTTTATTGCAAAACAAAAGATTTAAAGAAAAAATGGCTGGAACAGTTTGAAATGGCTTTGTGAGTATTTCTACCTTTAAAAGTGTTTTTTCTACTACTTAAAAATCTCTTACAAGTAATGAACTGTCAATAAATGTACTCCAGCCCTTGTAGCGTGTATATGGAGACTGTGGAAACACTTTGAGCATGATTGCTGCTTGGCTGGTCGGCTTGATAACTTTGGTCTCCTACGAGAGGCTTTGGCGAATTTCTTCAAGAAAAAGAAAGAGGGCACTCTAACATTTTGTTTGACTTTCTTCTCATGGGCATATTTTAATTCTTTAGCTTTCTGCAGCCTGTGAAAATATTAACAATTCTAATGATAAACTTTTGATATGCTGACCGTATTTTATATAGATCTTTAAAGTAGAAGTGGTCGCAAACACACACATTCATACTTGCACATGTTTTATTTTTAATAGAAAAATTCATTTCTTCCCCTCATTTGATTTTTTTTTTTTTTGACTCATTTATTGTTTGAGTCCTAGATAAATTACCTGGTGTTTTTAATGAATGTTTTAAGCTCTTGAGTTCTTTCCATGTTCTTTCCTTTTATGAAAGTGGAAGCTCAAGAAAGAGGTGGGAAGTAAATTAGACCTGTTTCAAAAGGAATGACATAAAGAGATGTAATTACACAAAAACATGTTATTATAGGGGTTTCTTTTTAGTTTTGATGTTTTGGATTAAAAGGTGCATAGTGACCTTGTTACAAAAACATTAAGGTTACCCTGAAATTGAAACTGTTAGCAAAAGGTGAAATTCGGGGTGGGGGGCGGATGGGGGAGAAAAGCACTTTGGATTTGCTTCATTTGTATTCTAGCACTGTTTACCATTTGTGGACAATTCTATCGGGCTTTTGTTCCTTCTTTTGCTTTGTTTTAAGAAATGCTTATGTTAATATGGGGATTAGATTAGAATGTTTTATTGTAGTTCTGAAGTAAGAAAAACAGATTTTCTTGAGATTATTTTATCTAACATTTTGAGAGCAATGATGGTGCTACTAAGATGTTTGTAAGCTCATAAAACAATTCTGGATTCGGCAGTAACCACGGTCATGAGTTGGCTGCATGGTCTTAGCTAAGTTCATTATCTTTCAGAGCCCTGGTTTCCTCCTCTATAAAATAAGGATAATAATATTTTGGATTTCAATAATATGTTTCAGGCAGAGTGCTAGCCACATAGCACACCAGCAGTCATATGGTATTGAACAATAATGATATCTATTGTTATCACTATTAGTAATATTGTTTTGTATTTAGGATCTTTTTATACCCATGAGGACTTGTAAAACCAGAAGGCACCATCCCAGTATACATCATGGTGCTAATAATGTATTGTTCTTGATTATAGTGGTGAAGCCAAAGAGGTTAGTAGTTCTGTGCATGGATGCTGTGGCTATGCTGTAGGTCCCCTTTGGCTGGGGCCTGAATAAGGAAGTTGGTGGCCTCTGCCTAGTCTCTCACAGATTGTGGGCTCCATCATAAACCAAGGGTGCTATTTTAAGGAGGTTTCAAGTGGTGACTTGTCTACCTGGGGTTGGTGACAATGGGCACAGGCAGAGCTGATATCAAGCCTTTGCTCTTGTGGGAATGACGCTAGGCTAGTATTTACTTGTGGGTTCTTTTTTGCTATATAATCTTTGGATGAGTGAAAACATTTCTGCAGAGGAGGGAAGGTAAATTTCTTGTCTGGAGCAGGCAGCTCTCCTTGGACTGTACGATAGGCAGACCAGTTAACATTTTGTTCAGTTGCCATAAATCAAGGAACTTAACTGGATACAAGAGATTTTACAATATGGATGCTTTTGTCTCCTTTGTGAAAAAGGATCTGGGGTAGGTGGATGAAGCTTGGTCTGGTGGCCCACTGAACTATCCTCAGGGATCCAGACTCAGGGCTTCTGCTCTTCACGATAAGCATTTGGCTTCTGTGCTCAGGGTTGGTCACTTTGTTGTCCAAGATAGCTGCTGGAGCTCCAGTTATAAAACCTCCATGCTAGGCAGCAGAAGGTGACTCCTTTCTTTGAAGGATCCCTTGTAAATATGCCACAAACTTATGTTACTAATACTGACTAGAATTTAGCCGTATGGCCACATCTGTCAAGGGAGCCTAGGAAATCTCTATCATCTTTATTTCAGGCAGGATTGCACCTAGCTGAGAATCAAGGTTCTCTTATGGGAAAAAAAAAAAAAAAAGGAGAAACTCGTAGACAACTACCTGTCACTGCTTGATAGGTATATACCTATGGGAGGATGGATAGATAGAAATTGTCTCACCATAAGAAAGACGGCTGTACCATGCCCAGGGAAACTGGGATTCTTAACTTTGAGCATTTTCCAGACACCTCACCAATATAATTAAACCTCCAAGTGGCTGTTTGTATTTCAGAATTCCATTGACTGCCCATGCAGATGGTGAGAGGGTGGAAGTACCTTTTTTGAGAATTGCCAGAGTCGAAGTGGAGGGCTTCTATAAGGGATGATGCCAATTATGGCAAAGTAAAATTAGTCAGGATTTTACTCAGGCATCAGAATATGCCATTATTTTATTTTGTCCCCTCTTTTTTGAAGCTCATTATGCAGGAAAGCCCTGCTTCCTGCTCTATAAGCAGCTCCTGCTTGTCTTGTGCTCAGGAGAATAAAATAACCTAGGTTAAGTCCTGAAGCTTAGGACGACGTTACCTATGGTTCAAATTTTGCCATTTTATCTATTAAAGTTCGAGTACTGTCCTTCTCTAAGCCATGGGGAATAAAAGAAAACTAGGGACAGCCCATGAAAACCTTTGGATGCCTCCTCAAGTCGGCTTCTACCAGTCCCTTTAGCATTAACATTGGACACACAGGTCCTCCTAGAGCATTCTGGAGTGTTTAAGGAACTCAGGGAAGGAAAGGGAGGCATCGGTAGGAGTGTGGTGGGAAATCAAAGGAGGTGATATTTTAAGACTGATGAAATGCTTGCCAGTTCTATTTACAGAAGATGGCTGTTCTGCTGTTTATAGGATGATTGGATCGTTTTTATTTTTTAAAAAAGTTGCAAATCACCTTTAAGATGTTTAAAATACCACTTTTAATTTAGAACATTAAAAAAGACCATAGAAAAGCATGAATACCAATAAACAGTAAGTACCCAGTAAACGCATATCATCTCCCTAGAGGTGACCTAAATCTCAGCCTGTGTCTTTTTCTCAAACACATCCCATCCCTGCTCAGTAGTCGTGTTCTCTGACCTTCTTTGGCAATAACCACTTCCAGCATTTAGAATATTCAGTGAACCACATCAGAGCTTGGCAAACCTCCGTAAGAAAGGATGAACAAAGAGAAAAGCAGCAGTGACCCACTTGGATAGGGCAGGGAGAAAAATGTTTTTTTCTTTTTCTCCTGTGAGAAGAAGTGGTAGCAGGATGGATTGCTCTTGAGGTTGTTGGAACAGTCATGGAACCAAAGAAGTTTGGGAGCCATAGTTGTGGGGGACCGCCACTCTGAAGAATGTATTTAAACCTTTAAGAGACTGATGTATATACATTGTTTATTCTTCTTTATTTCCAAAAGGGCTTTTGTCACCATCTCTCCCAATTCCATTTAGTTTTCTGTGAAATAAGATGGCAAATATTTTTAATAGCTTAAGCTAGTTTTCATAATGATACAGGAGAATATGGATGTGAGTGCCTATAGCAATGTTCAAAATATTGTCAGGAAGCTTCTGGGTATATTTTCCTCCAATCCCTTATATCCAGTGTGTTTTTATGAATTCTCCTATTAGATTTAAATTGATAAATATTGTCATACCCATTTTATAGCTCAGGAAACTAATGATTACAGCAGTGTTTCAGCAAACTTGTACAACTTCAGTGCTGTATCATTTACAATGGAGTTCAGGATCTCAGGTCACAACAATTTCTTTACCCCAAGGTGCTAAAATAAACAACTGGACTGAAATCCTGTTATCTACAACTAGAGTCAGGTTTCCTTTTCTGCTCCCCCACCTCCACCACTGTAACTAGGACCTAGAGGATCAGGCAGTTTCTTTAAATGTTCCAGAAACAAGTCAACGTTGGGTAAAATATGAAACAAATAAATTGAATAATAGACAAGGGAGGCTTTTTAAAGAAGGAGAGCGAGAAAGAAAAAGTAAAATGGGGGCGGGTATTGCAAATGGTAAAAAGTGGTAGATTCTGAACCAGCCTCCATAGTGTTTACTGAAGGAAACTGAAAAGTTCTTTGCCTGGAATTTATTCTGACCGACTTGATCCAATTCTTGAAGTTCTAACAATTTATATTAATCCCTTGAATAAAGAAAGTTCCTTGAAAGATGCATTGCCATATTCCCACTATCTAAGATTCCTTCACTGTATACCATATGCACTGTGCTACGTGGTTTTCTTAAGAGGAGGAAGAACATAGAAATAGTAATGTGTGCTCAAAGATTAGCCCAGGATATTTAGGACTAGTTGCCAAATTAGCAATTTGTTGTTAATTGTTAAATGCTAAGACTGTGGTTGTGGAGAGAAGAGTAGAAGGGTATATAGAAATTACAGAGCCAGGAAGGGACTCTAGGACCAGATGTCATTGTCATGTTGGACATCTAGAAGGGCAGCCCCTGAGCTTTGTCTCCCATGGTGAACCCCTGAAAAGGGGTGCTCTCCAGATAGGGTAGGGCAGGGGGCAGGAATCTAGCCATTAAACTCCACAAATCTCATTTGATCAGAGTCACACTGTTTCTAATTTATTCCCCACTTACTTCCAGAAGGAATTTGCGGTCACTCACCATAAAAAGCACACATGCCACAGAATTAAAAAGAAAAATTTAAATAATCAGAGGTCAAACAGAACAATGTTTCAAAGCATTTTCCTCACACTCGGGATCTACTAGACAAGAATAGTTTCCTGAAATTTACCTTCTGTAGTTTGTATTATAAAAGCAGTGAGTATGTTGTTCACATTTTAAATATGAAATTATATTTTATCAAACATAATTTAAAAAACATAAAATTTGTTTTAATCTAAAGATATTGCTCAGATATTTTG